GGTTTCTTCTGAGGGAAAATTAGACAAAGGTAATGGCCAGTTTGGGGAAAAAATGCGCATGATGGTTTCAAAGGTGTGCCGTAGGCACGCATGCAGACGCTACATGTGGACACGCGGGGAGAGGGAGAACTCCCTAAAAGTTAAAAATTTCGAATGTCTTAGACTGCATTTGAGGCACCCTGAAACATTTTCACAACGGCGATGTTAAATTTGACAACGGCGGTGCGCCACTGTGCCTCTTATGTATAAGAAACCCTGTATATATATATTATATGTATTATAAGTTTCCACGTATATATTGGTGGAGAAAACAGTTCACCTCTTTCGTGATTATACACAGCGATTTCACGCATTATAGAAGATACACCCACACAATACTGAATGAATACGCGATGAAAACAATTTACATCCCCCCAGTTTTACACTAACAAGAGGGCATGAACACTCCCACTCTGCCGGAAAAAGGTTCAAATTGGCTCATTCCCAAAATGTGAAAACGTGTTAATTTCGACCTCACTTACCTCAACAGGACGATTTTATGTGCTGCGACGCAAGCTAATTTAAAATTCATTATCCCCGGCCAGAGATGAATCTCAGCTTGGGCATTAAAATTTAAATTAACAATTAATTAAAGTTGACATTAAACGGTGCGTTACGCTATTTATCACGGCTCGTTACCCTACCAAGCCCACCCAGGAATGCACACACACACACACACACACACACACACTCACTCACACACAGGCATGCACACACACGCACACACACACAGGCATGCACACACACATATGCGCACACACACACAGGCATGCACACACACATATGCGCACACACACACACACATGCACGCACACACACATGCAAGCAATGCACGCACACACACGCACGCATGCATGCACACACACACACGCGTCCACATACACACACGCACGCACGCACGCACACACGTGCAGACACGCATCCACACACACGCATCCACACACACGCACACACACGCACGCACGCACACACCAGAGATGCCAACACATATTTGAAGCAATCTGTAGTTTCTGGCCATCAAATTAGTAGTTCGAGGGTCCGAGTTTGCTAGGGGGTTCGGCATGTCCCCCGGAAAAATTTTTGATTCTGGGATGCAATTTCCTGCATTCTGAGGGTCAAAAATGACAATAAATTGACAAAAAATGACAATAATTGACAAAAAAACAAATTTTTTCGATCACAGTGAAATTCGTAGTTTGATACAAACTGGTCGTAGTGGTGCAAAAGAAATAAAAATTCGTATAAAATACGGATAAATCGTAGTGGTTGGCATCTCTGCACACACGCACACACATGCACACATGCATGCACGCACGCACGCACGCACACACACACGCGCTCATCAACGCACCTTGGGCACCTGCTCGAGGATGCAGTTGCCGACGTGCTGCATCAGCTCGGCGGTCGTCACGGCGACGGTCGCCGGCGGCAACTTGACGCGTGACTTGAGCGCGAGCACGTTCATGACGGCTATGAGCGGACACGGACCGTTCTCGTTCTGCGTCACGACGGGCGCACGCGCCCCGCCCCACGCAATCCACTTCACGCGATGCGGCGATGGTCCCCCGCTCCCCCCGCCGCCACCAGAGGGAGTGCTGCTAGCGGTGCTCGCGCTCGCTCCCATCCCGGAGTCGACGCTCGCTGATTTCGCGGTGGCGCCACCATCAGTCGGAGACACGGCGGAGGCGGCAGCAGAATTCGATACTTTACTCTCGGAATCTGGTTCACTCTCTCTCTCACTCTCGGTGATGTTCAGGGTTCGCGCGTCCACGGCGACGGTCGCCGTGGAGATGGTTGCCCCGGCGACGGTCGTCGCGGCGACGGTCGTCGCGGCGACGGTTGCCGTGGTGATGAGGTCACCGATGTCCTTGTTTGTCATTGTCTTGTCTGTCGTCGCGTGCGAGGAGTTGTAGTCGTCGTCGGTGCTGCCGTCGCCGACGCCTCGCTGCGTGTCTGCGCCTGCACAGATGGATGCAAGATACGCGTTAACGAAGAACAAATTTAGAGAGGGAGCGAGCGAAAGAGAGAGAGCGAGAGAGAGGGAGAGAGAGAGGGGAGAGACAGAGAGAGAGAGAGAGAGAGAGAGAGAGAGAGAGAAAGGAGAGAGAGGGAGCGAGCGAAAGAGAGACAGCAAGAGAGAGGCCGAGAGAAAGAGAGAAAGAGAGAGAGAGGCGAGAGCGTTAACGAAGAACAAATTTAACGACGACGAAGACGAACGATCGATGCGTCCGCCCGGCGCCAACGACGGACAGCTCTCACCAATCACTGGGGCGATGGGTCGTTCTAAAGACAATGCTTAGTGAGGAAGTGTCACGTTAGTGAGGAGAACTCAACCTTAGGGTAACAAACGGGGGCATGCACGACGTAGAAACTGAGCGAGTTTGACGAACCAAGGAACAATAATGAAAGGGACGTGGTTAGCCTGCTCATACGTCCACAGGGTTGAAGCTGTAATAAAGGCAATGCATACTATAGCACTAGAGCAATGCTACAGCATTACTATGCCCCAGGCCTGCCTATGCTAATATCACTAAAATCGGGATTCTAAAGTTGGACTGAACCAGTCTGGTTTCTACTAAGGTAGTACACTAGGACGTACCAATGTAATGTAATGTAATATAATGACAATGTAATGAACGACAACGAGGAACCACTAATCAGAGTGACTAATCAGAGTGTGTACGATCACTAATCTGTAATCAGTTGACAGTACGATCAGCGGATCACAGATGAGTGTGAGGTTACACTAGCTAGTTTCGGCTTCCTAGTTTAGTAATGCACGAAGGGTCGTCGTCGTATAATGGCGTATAATATGTACCCGAGGTAACTATCTGATATGGTTAGGGTTAGGGTGTTAGGGTTAGGGTTAGGGTTAGGCATTAGGGAGTAGGCGTAGGCGACATGGTACTCGCCGACACTTCGGGTACTACATGTACGACAACGACCCCTTCAGTCTTGTTAATAGCAAGTACCGCTGTTCACCGCCGCTGCACAACTCAATGTAGCATCACTACCGTGAGCCTCACCGTCATTATTACTCGCTGAAGAACACTCGGAGGTTGTTGTGGTGGATGATGAAGGAGGGGCCGCCGCGGTAGACGCGCCAGCCGCAGACGAACCGTTTTCCTCCATCCCGCCGAAGGATAGAACACCTCCTGATGATCCAGCGAAAGTTTATTTGAGATCAGTCTTTCACTTAACGATTTGCTACGATTAGTGGGTATTATCCGTGGAATGGGCGCAAGTGCGACTGTTTTTTAGTGCCAATTAAGTAAAATTCGCAGATGCCGACGCCATGATGCCTCTTGGGTGGAGGTTTCGCATTTTCATCGCACCCATATTCTGAGTTATTTAGCGCTACTCCAGAATATTAAACGAACTATTATTGAAGGCACTCTTTTTTATTATTACTTGCTGTGCGCATGCAAATTTAAGCGCGGTTTTACCGATAAAACCGAGTCCCCGACGAGGAAGTGTTTGAAAAATGCGACGCCAGATGGAGCAGCATACAAGACAACAAGGAGGAAAATCGGCACCTCGAAGAGTTTCGTCAAGTTTCTAGTTTTAAACTTCAGATTACGGCAAAGTTATCGAGTCAAAGCTTCACGCGTGAGCCGATCGCCGGAGAAAAAGAGTCGATCCCAACCGTGAGTTTCGAATTTAATCCGTTTATCGCTGCATCGCGTAGTCCGGACGCAAACTAGTTCGAGTGATCATATTTACACTTCGTTTTAGTCGCTGACTCGACTTGCGGCACTCGCATTCACACTCGCTATCACACACACACGCGTACGCATGATCGTGATAACCACGTGTAGGCTCTATTGGTTGTGTAACATCGTGTTCGTCGGGGTTGTACACGCGTCGATTGGGGAAACCGTTAACCTAGTTGGAGACTTGCGAATTTAGGAATTAAAACATGCACAGGGCTGAGGGATGGGAATTTAATTTTCAGCTGAAATTGAAATGAGCAAACAGAGGAGCGAGCAATGCTAGGAGTCCCGTAGGTCATCGCCATGCTAGGGGGGTCCGGGGGCATGCTCCCCGGAATTTTTTTTAAAAGAATGGTGCAATTTGGTGCATTCTAAGCTATTCTGAACACATTATAGGAGACTCTTGAATCACTTTTTCAAGTTGTCAAAAGGAACAAACGAACTATGAATAGGAAATCACGGGGCTGAAAATAGGGCAAGTTTTTTTATTAAATGTCTAGACATAATGATATTTTTCTGTTTCCACCCGTCGCTTGCATTGTTTTACTCAGACATAAGCTGCCTTGCTGCGACGAGATTTGAATGAAAAAAACACAATGCGAATGGAACAATCGGTGAATAGTCATGCACACAACATGGCACATGCACACAGCAACGTGTAAACCTGGCCCCTAGGCCAGGCATGGTTGGTACGTGATCAGCTACCTCAAATGTCTGCCCCTCTACTGCAGCCTGTGAACGAGGATTTTCTTTTCTGGTACACAAAAACAGATACACTGTATACTTCGCTGTCAGTCTACTGTCTACACTCTACAGTCAGGTGCTGTTGAGGGGGTATAATTTAAATGTTTACATCGTTACCCCCCCCCCAAAAACGAATTTAAACGTTTCACAAAATCGACCCCTGGGACTGTCAAATCCGCGGATCTGCGGAAGAATCTCATCCCTGCATGCAACTGTACATGTAATATAATGTATCCCGTAATGTCAAATGATGTATATATATTGTACGATGTGCCGCGTGATCACGTCTTGAACTAGATACTGTTACTATGATGCAACCCAACGCAGTAACATACTCCGTTGGGTTACAGCAATGTACCTAATCTTCGGCTAGCCTTTTTACTCGAATCGAGCGCATCCATTATCAGTCACTGCCACTCCTGGACAAGAGTTCATCCACAAACGGAACGTGCAATCTCTCAACAAAATACTTGATTAGAATTTTAGCTGTACTCGTCTCGTCGCCTACAGTGATGACAATAATGTCGTAACAGCACATTTTGCAACAAAAATCTTCTGAAGGCAAAGATCTGCATCGTTCAAGACAAACCTCTCTTATTCAAATACCGTCTCTACAAAGAAAACGTCGAGGTCACACCTCTCACAGCTTATATTGAGCGTGATCATTGGCTAACGCTCCATTAGGAGTGTTCCCAACTTTGATATCATTAATGATTAATTATTGATAATCCTAACCCTAACCCTAACCCTAACCTAAATGACATTAAACCACAAACTAATATATGACCATATATATATATATATATGTTATTATGACCATTAATGCCATTAAAGTTGGGAACACTTCTAATGGAGTATCACCTTGATCATTGCTTTCAACATGTGCCATCTTCAAAAGATCCCTAAAAGTTTACATTCTTTGTTTCTGTCATTCTGTGTTGGAATTTTCTCCCTTCCTTTTTAGTTAGTTGCAAACTTGAGGCTTTTTCTACTGCGACTCGCAGTGGTGAACCGTCTATTGGATCAACTTTGTCTCTTTCCGTCATCGATGTAGTCAGGGCTCGGACTTTGAAGACTAATATTTACGGGGTTCCGACGTAATATATACGGCTGTAGCAGTGTATCGTGCACTGTAGCTGTACAGCGAAATTGGACAGATTGCACCTGTTGCGAATGGTAACTGTTCCGGTATTTAAACTAGCGTACATCATAGTAAGTATATTTGTGATATAGATATACATATAACCGGTTAGGTAAGAACGTTTTAATACCTGTATTTATAAATAATAGCTACGAGCGATCGCAGGTGAGATGTCATTGTCAAAGCAGTTGAACTACGCACACTAACTATGATAACTTAGCACTAGTAACGCTGAGAGGGTCTATGTCCCCCAGGGTACTGCCGTAACGTACCCTGGGTACGGTCCGGTATACCAGAACGTACCCTGATACTATCTAATATGCCGGACCGTACCTCGCCTACTCCACTAACGAGTCTAGGGAGTCGCCTACGCCTACTCCCTAACCCTAATCCTAACCCTAACCATATCAAATAGTGACCAGGTTACGTTCCGGCAGACCGGAATAGTGACCAGGTTACGTTCCGGCAGTACCCTGGGGGACATAGACTCTATGAGCACTAGTAACTGTGCTGCTGCTGTAGCCTGACCAGGCTTTACGACTGTTTCACATCGTAGCATGCCATGCAGTGAGAATAGTAACTTGTGGCTAAGTCTACTTTTCGACTCGTGTACAAACACCATCCTCAGCACCACAATCCTACCCATATTCCTTATCCCCAACTGAACTATAACCATAGTCTACTTCCGCCTGAAGGAGGAATGAACAGAGGTGTGACCTCAACATTTTCTTTCTAGAGGTGGTATTTCAATAGGAGATTTTTGTCTTGAACGATGCAGATCTTTGTCTTCAGAAGATTTTTGTTGCAAAATCCGCTCCCTAGTTAACCTAGGAGATTTTTTGTCTTCAACAATGGAGATCTTTATCTTCAAAAGATTTTTGTCGCAATCGCTGCTCCCTAGTTAACCTAGGAGAGCTTTTTTGTCTTTGATGTGCCGTGCGTGGTAACAAGGAAACGAGTCAGACTGTCTAGCGTATATGTATGATGATTCACTGCTGGACTATGTATCTTAAAACGGAATGCGTGTCGGGGATATATAGCACGCCGATAGCTGGAGGACTGGATGAAGAAGACTGTGATCAAACTAATTTGATAGTAATTTTATGATAACTAGTTTGATGACGTCAGATTAGGAGACGTCTGCTGGGGATAAGGGTCCCCTCTTGCACCAGACATGAGTTTACTAGTTTGGTAGAGGCTTAAGTCTGTGAGTGCCAAAGGTTTGCTAAAGGTAACGGCGGTGGTGGTAATGATGATGATGATGATGATGATGATGGTGATGATGATGATGATGATGATGATGATGCTGCTGATGACGATGATGATTATGATGAAGATGGTGATGGTGAAGATAACGATGACGATGATGAAGGCAGTGGTGATGATGATGATAATGATTTTGATGATGATGATGTCAGCAACAGTGATCGGCACTCGACCTAACGCCACAACAAACTGAAACAATGTAACTATCAGCAAGGGAGAGAGGTTCACGGCCATCTAACCTTCCTCTGTGGCCATAACTTTATTATAACATGGTGGGAAGAGAAGAAGAGAGAAAAAACTCGTGAGCTTCTCTACTCAAGAGCTGAGCTGCCTTTGTTCAACGAGCCCTAGCTGCCGGTTGCTCATGCAAGCACGTGTTCGTCCTCTCACACTAGAGTCTAGGCTGACAGGCAGACGTTCCGACAAGTACATGTGCATAAAAACAATCGTAAGAACAGCAATACACGTGTATTTGCACCAGTACGCTGATTTGACAGTGTTTCCGTTTGTATAAGTGTGAAAGCAGATGAAGAAGAAGAAGAAGAAGAAGAAGAAGAAGAAGAAGAAGAAGAGCGGGTAAAAGTTGGGGAAGAAAATGTAGAGTAGGAGGAGGAAAAGGAGGAGGGGAAGAAGGAGGAAGAGGAGAAGAAGAAGAAGAAGAAATAGAAAAAGAGGAAGAAGACGAAGAAGAAGAAGAAGAAGAAGAAGAAGAAGAAGAAGAAGAAGAAGGAGACAAAGACGGTTAAAAGAAGAAGCCGACGAAAAGGAAGATGTCAAAAATGAAAAACCTTTGGCGAGGAAAAAGACGATAAAGAAACAAGAACCAGTTCAAGCAAAAAGAGGAAACCAGCACGTGGCTTTTTTTACAGCGTGATTTTTCACACCCGGTCGAGTGTGGAGACGATGGTATGTGCATCAGCATGTGTGTGTAACTTCGTAGGGGGAAGCGAATGGTTTGAATGTTGAATTGTTTTAATTGCAAGCGTAGCCTGAAAAGGCTAAGTCCTTCTCCTTGCCCCTCAACATGGGTTGCTTAGGGTTCGAGTTAGGAAGTGTGTTAGGGTTATCTTGTTGGGTTTAGTATAGGACTAGGGTTACAGTTTGAATGTTATGGTTACGTAACTTACGTTGCTATGTTAGTGTTCGATTTTGTGATTAAAGTTAGATTTTATGGATGGACACATTAAGTACATTACAAACCCTAACGGTAAAATCTCTATCCTTACCACATGGGTCTTACAAATCTTAATGGCAAAAATCTCTATGATTACCCCCATGATTCCAACATTAACCCTAGCTCCTACTTCATAATTATCTCTACGGAGAATCAGAGATCAATGCTATTTGCGAGTTCATCGTGGTATGCGCGTGCCTCTCACAAATCCTGCTCACGTGGGTCTGTCTGTCTCTCTCTCTCTCTCTCTCTCTCTCTCTCTCTCTCTCTCTCTCTCTCTCTCTCTCTCTCTCTCTCTCTCTCTCTCTCTCTCTCTCTCTCTCTCTCTCTCTCTCTCTCTCTCTCT